AAGTGTCAGTATATTTTTACAAAGTCGGAAATCTGTTTCAAGATAATTCTATTTGTAAATAATAGATAAAGTCACAGCTTTGTATAGTTCTTAAGTTTTCTTATGTAAAGAATAAATAATCATTTAGTCATTTCAATTAGCGCTATTAAGCCTTAAACTCAAACGACAGATTTTTGTAATATTCTTTTGTTAATCTTTCAAGTGCTAATTGTATTATTTCATTGTCATTCGGTAATCTCGTTTCTATTATTGTAACCATGTAAATTCTTGATTTAAATATGTTTTCTGAAGTTCTTACTTCAGTGAGAGTCGGGCATTCGTACTGACAACATCCGCTCAATTTGTCAATTGTAAAAGTACATGTATTCCATCCTGAATTAATAAATTGTTAACTACTGCATATGACTTGTGTCTAATTCTACAAGTGGAGTTCAAGCGAGTATTCATAGTCAAGTGACTAAGTCTTAGTCTTTGTCTAATGTTGGCATCGCCAACGTCTGCAACCGGTCGTGGGTTGCAGCTCGTTATCATCATCAATCTAGTAGCCAGTCTCCCGGTTACATTTATGGTGGAGGAAACCCAGAGGCGTGTCGACTTTTTAGTTCGACACACGGTACCAGTATCTCAAGCAGCAAGTGACAGTTCGATCGCTAGTTCCCATCATCTCAGTTTATTCAGCGATGGAATATAGTTTTCGACCTCAAAGGAGAACGTGGAAATTTTATTCCTGTCAAAATCTAATGTGTGTCAGATGTGGATTACAAAATCATCGCTTTGGAACATGTTCAGCGATAGATAAACAATGTAACAAATGCAACAAATTCGGACATTATTCAAGGCAATGTTGGAGTAAATCAATTAAATCTTCAATCTGTTCAAAGATCATACAGGAGAAATCAAAGCATAAAAAGCAACGTGATAATAAAAGACTGAACGAATATTTTGAAAGAAAAAATGCAATGCGCGTGTTGCCATTCTCTGGCATAAGATCTACAGCTTTTCAAAATTGCTTAGACGTTTCTGTCATACTTCATTCCGAACTAAAGTCTATAAAAAGTCAACTGCGTGAATGTAAAGTCGCACACAGAAAGGATATCACAAAATTACAAGATCAACTAACAGATTCCGAGCGTGAAAACACAAGCTTAAAGAAGCAAATAGAAGACTCAGCAATTCAAGATTCAAAAACTATTCAACAATATTCAGACAAAATTTCTCAACTTGAATCCAAACTCAGTGATAGTGAAAATTTTGTTAACATAATAACAGGTCTCAACAAGCAAACTCAAACATGGATTACAGAACAAGAAGAAAAACACAAAAACGAAAAGGACAGGCTCATTTGTCGTAGTGATGAACTTTATAAAACTATTCAAATATTATCGGATGAAAACAATCGATTAAAGTTAATGCAGCAACAGCCAAACGATCCATCAGCAAATAGCAACAAACATTTTCGGGAAAAAAGACATTATCGCAAGAGATAGTTTTAATTTAACCTCAAAGCGGGGACGCTTTGGATTTCATAGGGGAGGGAATCTGTGATAGGGAAAATTTGTGTAAATTGTGCATCTTTATTTGAAACAATTTAAAAGGATTAGTTTTCTTAAATCTGATATCTTTGGACTTTCACAGACAAACTGAACGGTCATAAAATGTCATTATATTGTTATACTTATTATCGTTTTATCTCAATCATTTTATTTGCAATATTTGTCCGTCAAAGTAATTTTATTAACATGTAACGATTTTTCCTTATAAAGCTTTTTGTGTTATAAGTAACAATTAAGTGTCAGTATATTTTTACAAAGTCGGAAATCTGTTTCAAGATAATTCTATTTGTAAATAATAGATAAAGTCACAGCTTTGTATAGTTCTAAAGTTTTCTTATGTAAAGAATAAATAATCATTTAGTCATTTCAATTAGCGCTATTAAGCCTTAAACTCAAACGACAGATTTTTGTAATATTCTTTTGTTAATCTTTCAAGTGCTAATTGTATTATTTCATTGTCATTCGGTAATCTCGTTTCTATTATTGTAACCATGTAAATTCTTGATTTAAATATGTTTTCTGAAGTTCTTACTTCAGTGAGAGTCGGGCATTCGTACTGACAACATCCGCTCAATTTGTCAATTGTAAAAGTACATGTATTCCATCCTGAATTAATAAATTGTTAACTACTGCATATGACTTGTGTCTAATTCTACAAGTGGAGTTCAAGCGAGTATTCACAGTCAAGTGACTAAGTCTTAGTCTTTGTCTAATGTTGGCATCGCCAACGTCTGCAACAGGTCGTGGGTTGCAGCTCGTTATCATCATCAATCTAGTAGCCAGTCTCCCGGTTACAATTTTCTTTTAATATCTTACGTAAGAGAAGCGATATGGCCTTGTCATTTTATATAAAACTCATTTCCTTTATATCAAGTTAATTGACATTGATTTTGAAGAGACTCTGAAGAAACAAAATCTGCAGTAGAATTATGAAATCATATAGAATATAATTATAAATTAATAAAGAACCTAAATGTACTTTTATATTGATTTTAGGTTGATGTTTACTTGTACTATGTTAATTGATTATATTTCATTAAAAAATTTGTGACAAATAATTAATCTGCAAGGAGTTGTGTATGTAATGATATGTAGGAACAGGAGATTTATTATTTATGATTGTAATAAAATAAAAGGAGCCTTGAGGGTAAACGTTACCGAGAAAACATACCGCATCACACAAATAACAATTATGTTAATTAAAATATGTTTAAGAATATTCAGAAAGCAATAAGATATGGTATGGAGGAATGTTTACGAGGCATCAAAGCTACAGCGCTTTTACTTACATATCATAATTATGTTATTTCTCGAAGGTATACAATTCAATTATTTATTTAAACTCGGACACAAGATATGTGTAACATGAGGACAAATTACTAATAACAAAATTATACTATCTAAAGATTACAAAACTTATAAGGTACATCACGGCCGACACTCGGCTAACCGAGATTGATTGATTGTTGGTTGCTCTATATTGAGTATGCGGCTATATGGGCAGTTGGTCTGTTAATCGGGTCGGTTATACGTCTGTTAAGAGTAAAACGCACACTTTAAATGTTCAACTCTGTTAAATATACAGATTTTTGGCATATTATAAGAACCAATTAAAAAAAAGAAAAGTGTCTGACAAAATGATATCTATCATAGAACATTTTCCACCTGTAAAAACATTTCATAGTCTGCGATAACTTCAGTAAAACTAAAAGGCGTCGCGCAAGTATGTGGTATTTATGCCTATACGCATAGCAATTGTTTTAATAAAAGGCGAAACAAACAATTTTAGATATCATTTAAAGGACACAGAATAGTACTTTGGTTCAAAAAAATAAATTGACATTAGTAAATATTTCATATTTGTAATATAACGTGAGTAATACCACGTTTTAGTGACTATTAAGGGAATAAAGTCTGTTAATGGGTTGGACAATTAAAATTGTGTCAGTTAAGAGTTATTTAGCCACGACAATAGTTTTGCTACCTTTATAATTTCCCATTAAAAAAGTTAAGAATGAGATGTACTTGAGTAAAAAAAAATGACAATACGGTGCAACAGTATCCTTGTAGTAAGAGCATTTTTATTTTGATTTTCTTTGCATTTTATTGAAAGGTGTGTCACTGCAATATAGCGTGATATGGATTGGCCGCTGGAATATGCATGAATTTATTATTAACGTTTTCAATCAGCCTTGATTTTTGTGTCTGTTTAAAGAAGCACGTTCAAAAATCCGACTGAAAGTGTCTGTCTTATACAACACCGGGTACATATAACGTGTTGTCGTTCTCATATGGACATGATATTTGCCACTGGACGTTTAACCCTAATTCGTCAGCATCATCCAATTAGTTCTTTTGTTCTATTACTTGATCATATGTTGTTTACAAAACATTCTAAAGAAGTAAATGGAAAGAAGCGAATGCAGCTACATTTGATTATCTTAAGTTTTAATTCATTTAATTCCGTTTAGTTCCTTTCTACATAAGTGCAGAGGAGAACTGCAGTTGTGCGCTTGTAAAATTCTAGCATTTGTCACCAATTTGAGTACATCGCAATCCGTTACTGTTTCAACCACCCTCTCCCCCTGAAATTTTGTTTTGTTTGCACTTTACAATATTTACTGAGCTATCAGATTCAGCGGTTGACAGGAGGCCAATGTTTATCGGACTCCAGTCTCAAATAACATAAAGTGATATACAGTATAAAAATTGCAAAGCATCTATATAGATATCGTTGTCTATACCAAGGAATTGTATATTTAAAAGGAATGGAAACGCGGCTCGAGATCAATCGGGATACCCGCAGAGCACCCGCAGAGCTATAATCCATGTGTGTCTCAATCGGAAGTATGATGAATAATATAAAGAATCATGACGGAGGACCATTTCCTGTCATATAGATCGGTTTTTTAATTCACGGGGTCATCTTGCTTGAGAAGATATAAAGGAGAGAAAAACCCAAAATCAAGAACAAACTTTTATTCCATGAAAAATGTAAGGCCTTAGGACTCATTTTAATGCCTCATCAAACATACGTTTGTAATATTGTATTATGAAAATTCTCATTAAAATAGACCTTGGTCTTGAAACTTGAGCGAGTTTCATCCGGATTACAAAACAAAAAGTACTGTGTTTTGATTTTTTTCTAAAAGCTCGACAACTACCCCAGCAGGCACTCAACGTTGATCCAACGTTGAAACAAGGTTGTTTCTCAACGTTGAAACAATGTCAAATTTATGTTTGATTTTGAAAATTTGAATTAACGTTGAAATTTCAACGTTGAGGTTCCAATTTCCATTCAACGATGATTTAAGGTTGAATAGTAGTTGAAAGTTTATTAATAAAATTTAGTATAAAGCTACATACACATTTATACCTGCTTTCCAATTTTTGTGCTGTTGTTAGATGTAGACAGGCAGCCTGGCTGTACAGGTTTTTTCTCTCTCACCAAGACAGCTAAGTTAAATTGACATCTAAATAAATACATCAATTGTTACTGATACAACATTCCGTGCTTGTACAGTCAATAATCTAGACCATAAATGTCATATCTTAAGATCCTGTTGGCTTCTGTGTCTCTCGTATTTAAATGTTAAATTTATTGAAAAATGTGTATTTATCTATTAGGAACAAGAAAAACTACATGAAGGAATAGCTGAAATGATTGTGTGTGTCCAATTGTATTTCAAGATAACTAAACATAATTATCTAAATTGATATACAAGTGGACACCTACCATTTTTTGATATATTCTTACTTGTAGTTTTTCTTGTTGTGAATAGCTATAAAAATACAAATCATTCAATGAATTTGAATAAAAATTATGACATACACTTTATTCCCACCACAGAAAGCATCACCAAACAGAAAGATGATGTTGAATAGTTCTAAACAAATAGTCCTTTAAATATTAAACGACTGACCAATGTTAAGCCCTTCTTAAAAGTAGTATATCCCAAGAAGAGTGAAGACATTATTAGATCCAACTTGTTTTCAGGATGATAGCAATACTTCTGAAAATATGAAGATGCTGCATGACTGCTATTAAATCAGACAACTCTCCACAAAAAACCAATTGTCCTTGATTGTATATACGTGTAAATATATATATTACCCTCACACCTATAATTGGTATAAACAATTAAATGAATACAAATTTACTAAGGAGCAATATCAAATTTAGTAATACAATGATATTTCTTTTGATACAAAATTTATTTTATAAATTCATTTGCTATCTTTGTCTCTTTTTGCATGTCAACTTTCTTCCACCACTTCGAGATCTTTCTGAGGCAGACTTCAAGTTCAAGCAGGAGGGATCTTTATCAGATATGTGTTTCTCAGTGACATCTTTATACTTTTGCAGTATATTTAACCTCTGGAAAAGATAAGATGATAATAAATATAAATTGTATGTCCTGAAAAGATACTCTAAATTTGAGCCACTTTCAATATGTTTCTAGAAGCAATGAAAAATAAAACCATAACAACAAAACACATATTGTAATAAGGTAATCATTAATACAAAAAAATATATTCATTAATGTTTACTATTAGTAGTTTTTGTTAATGAAGAAGCATCTACTCGAGATTTGTAAGATTGCAGGTTTGACTTTGTAATTGATTACCATGAAAAATTGACCCATGACGTTTTTTTATTGATGACTGCACAAGTCTATTAACATGAAATAAAGAGCTTTACTAGAATACTGTATATAAGACAAACACTGAAACATAATATGGATTGTAAGGTTAACAAAAATAGAATGAACAAGATTAAACTTTGAACACAAATGATATATACAGACAAAAAACCTACCTTCAATGATTTTATAGACTGGAATTCCCAAAACTGAATTTTGATTTTGTTCCACTTGATGCATTTCAGCCATTGATTTGTTTGACAAGATTCTGTGAAAAAAAATAATACATGTTTACGATAATGGACTGCTAGCATTCAGCGCAAGGTTCAATACACATACAGTAAGAAACATTACATGATAATGTTTTATGAAAAGGAAATATAATGAATTTTAAATGATAGTATTTACTTTGTACATGTATGTTCTCAATCATGCTAAACGCATGTCCTTAATACTAAATTCAGCTTATTCTTTTTAGTGTGTTATACATGTATGTGTAATATTATAGTCTACCCTTCACATAAATAATTGTCTTTGTCGAATACATATTGTTGAATTTGTGTTTGGCTAGCAGGTGAAAATTCTATTATTTTTCTTAGTTAACTTATAGCTAAAAGTTTCTAATGCATGTAATAATGTCATTATTACATACATTAGAAACTTTTAGCAATTAGTTAACTAAGAAAAATAAAAGACCTTTCCTTGTTATTGTTTTCTTTAAAGTTGTGGCGTCTTTTTGTATTGATGTGTGGTCATGTTGATTTAAGAGTAGTCAAAATTGAAAGTGCGCACATGGAGATGCAAATTGAATGTTAACCTCATTTCTCGTATTACACAGAGTCAGAGATCACCTGAAGATCAGATAAGGGTCAGACTGACTTGTTTTAAAAATAGAATACTTTGTAGAAAGGTTAATTAGGTCAAAAGTTATCAATGAAAATTCTATAGTTATCCTCTCATAGCGTGAAATAATACAATTTTGTTGAATTATATAATGTTATTGTACAAGTAAAAATAGTATGATTTTTCCATCACATGATCGTTCAATACTTTGTTGTCTAGTCGAAATTGATTGTTTATAATCTTCAAAAAGTATGTAGTTTACCAAGCCGTAAAGTTAAACTAAACAAAGACACATATATATATAGTATACATATTTGGAAATTTATCTGATCACCGTAAATTATGTAAACCCTTGCGTATACCCCCCCCCCTTCCCTCCCCTTTTAATTAAAATCTTCAACCATATTAATGTCTCAATGAAAATAAAAATGCTTTCCACATTAAATGCTTTTAAAAATAGTATAACTGGAGAAAATTGTATATGTCAGATGATATATTCACTATGGCCCTTCCATGTGTTCTGATCTGTTCTCAGGGATACAATGTTGACGTTATATTTTTCTCTAATTGTGCAATATATTGATACAAATTCAGAGTTTCTAAATACAATTCATACATGTATATAAAAACCGTGATGACCACATAGAAATATCTACTTACCATGGTTGATAAACGGAAAGATTCTCCTCGACTTCGTTCTTTGTTGTTCTATCTTTTTCAAAACAGGAAAGATGCGGGTTTAAATATTGCGCATGGGCAATCTAACTTCCTGTTCAAATCCCGCGAAAATATGAATTAAAAAAAAAATCACAATTTTGGTAATAATCAACTATTTTAAATTCCTTAACATGTTCAAAATATTCATTCATATTATGTGAAATGAAATTAATGCATTCTATTTCTTTTTACCTAGAAATTCGATCAGTATCAAACGATTTACCTCCTCCCACAAACACAGAATTTTTATTTGAGATCTCATTTTATCATGATATTTTTGTGAAAACCGAAACTCTATCTTATTCTTTTCTTTATAAATATATACTGCTACGTTCATGCATGTATTGCCTTCAGTTAATGATTTTTTTTATATAGGCCTCATATAGGCCTACCATAAGTAAATAAGTTAACGTTTATTCAATGTTGAATCAACGTTCCGATTTCAACGTTGAAATGATCAACGTTAATTCAACGTTGAATATTTGTTTATTACTCAACGTTGAAAATGTAACGTTGTTTCAACGTTGAATACACGTTGATCACCATTTCAACCTCATTTCAACGTTTATTCAACGTTGAGTGCCTGCTGGGACGAAGTGCAAAACAAAACAGTTGATATCATTATGAAGCTGAAACCTTATTCTATCATTTTGCCCTTTTTTTAAGTTTCTGGTAAAATTTCTGAATTTTCTACGATTTTTCGGAATTTCAGTTTTGAATTTCTTTATTCTGACAAAATATGTCTATCAATCTGGGAGTGTACTACGATTTCTTTTAAATATTGGAAAGTAGAAAGAACAAAGTGAGAAAATGAGATATCATTTTAAAGAAGGAATATTTTCCTACAGTCTGAGTTTGGTCTAAATTACGAATGCTAAATGTAATTGGTACAATGTAAATGATTTTATTTCGAAACATGTTGAAAATTTGAAGTAGTGCGTCAATAAATACATCGACACTTCGTATTTTTGTAAGGGTTAAATAACTACTTGAAATAGATGTGACATTGACATACAACTTAAAAGCTTAATCTTTTTTCTATCACATAGTGTTGGTTTTATGAAAATGGTGATAAAAACGAATTTGCTATGATTTTTCAAAATCCCATGTTTATAGTTCACATTGACGCCATTTTGTTCAGTCAAGTTCCACACCGACGAAGTCGGAAATTACAGGCAAGAAATATATATAAGACTTCCGATTGGGATTGATTGTGCCGTTTTATATACGATTTTATTCATTTATTTTTTTGTCAAATACTATTTTTTTTATACTAAATCGTTGTTTGGTATTGCAGTTTGCCATTATTAAGCGTTGCCGCAAATTACCATACGCTTAACAGTAAAACAGTTCCTTCCTTTTTTCTCGCAGAGCAGTAGTCTAGAGGTCGCAAAAAAAAATTCCTTCGGTGTTAAAATGAATAATAAGCGAATGTGGGAAAGTTTTAACTGTTTCTAATTAAAAAAAATTATTAAATCTCGGCATAATTTAGCTTTAACAGGTGAGCTCGGCGTGATTTCTTTTTGACACCTTAAATCAGGGACAGCATATAGTTAGTATACACTGTTCCTGCTTAAATATATATACGACAAAAATTAGCTTATCAATGATACATGATAGATTATACCTGCAAATTGGATATCCCATACCGGTGTTTATTATAACACCTATATTATCTAAGTTCTTTTATCTAGACAAAATACTACATCGCACACAAAATACTACATCTGTTCACGTACTTCTTCCTTTATACTTTTCTATACCAGTCATATTTCAAAATTGAAAAGTTGTTTTTTTAACTTTTTGCATTATCTTAAATCTTTTTAAAAACTCGTATAATGTCAGATTTCATCTATTAATTATTCTTAATTGTTGCATACCTTCGTGAAATATCAAGAGGAGGTACAAGAAAAAAACTGTTTTTCAGAAGTAACTTTGTTTAAGGTTGTATTTTTTGTTTATTTCATTTAAGGAATTGTATATCTAAATAGACAATTCCTTGTTTCATTTCATGATTAAATGACCAAGTTCGATAACTACTGCCAGATAAGTAATGAGCCAGTTAGAGCGACGGGATGTAATTAACACACCACCCAAGTCAGAGATGCATCATACAATTTTCTTTGAAGTCGGCCGCGTTTCCATTCCTTTTAAAAATACAATTCCTTGTCTATACTATCATGGAAGTAATATTTAAAAGGAATAACAACGACTAATTAGCATGTATTAACAGCCTGCAGAGCTCTGTACTAAAGTCATATGATTATATCCAATTATAGTCTCAGCGGCAAGACCCCTTTGGTTACTATCTGTGATACCGCGGTTGTAAAATGGCATCTGGAATTTCTTATCAGTCACGTGATTTTATCGAGTCCGGTAATTATAAAGCACCTGTGTGAAATCCGAGGTTTATTATTAAGAAGGTGGCGCTGTATCATATAAAACCTCTACCTTCAGAAAGAAGTCGTATGATGTAAAAAACTTGAAAAACGGACGAGAATTGTTCAACCTTCAACAGTTTAGCATGGAAAATTGTATTTAATTTAGCATATTTTTGCTTTTTACCGTTTGTTTTAAACTGTTCTAAAAGTATTTTCCGGTTAAAAGCGGATCCCGAGTAAAACAGTTAAATACCGATGAATCGATCAGGTTTCACATGATGTTTAACAAAATAATGTAGACAAATGTAGACATAGATTTTTTTACTGTTGAAATGTGCAAAGTTTATCGAGAAGTATTCTGAATGTATGTATATGTCATAAATGTCATTGAGTTACATTATTGAAACTGGACAGCTAAAATAGGGATAATATGTTCGTAAACATATATTTTTTATCAAAAGTGTTTATTGTGGAATACTTGTATTAATATAACAAGCTACAGCAAAAATTAAAACAAACCGACAAAATGAGCTTGACGCTATCTGTCTTACGGCAAATTCATTTTTACACGAATTTGTGTATGTATCAAGAACTATAAATTAAAGGATAGAACCGTTTAGAATTGTGAATATTTTAATTGACTAATACACGAAAGACTTAGATTATTCGTATTTAATAAAAGGGGGGTCCAAACGTATTTTTTGTACAATCATCTTCTTAACTTACGGAAATGGCTTTTTAACTGTCTGTAAATATTAAAATTGAAAATGACCCAGCCTTGTTCTCCAATTTCATATGAGATAGCTGTCGGTACTATTAAGATCGAACTAACAAGGATATACAAATCCTTGCCAGGAAAATTGGACTAAAATAAAAATTGAACGAATGACTATATTCGGCAACGTACATCAACGGAATGTAACGAATGGACTATTCGGGTTACTTCGCACGTATATACGACAAAAACTTGTATGTTCGTAGTTTTCCGTGAACACGAAAATGACCGAAAAGTGTCAGTGATTTGATCGATCATATGCGGAGAATCAACTTCCATGCCAGATATTAAACCAATTAACGAGTTATCGAAAGATGGGCGGTAACGCAGATGAAACCTTTGAAGTGACGAAGTTGTTATTCCTTTTAAATATTACTTCCATGATACTATTAATTTAAAAATAAGGAGATGTGGAATAAATGCCAAAATTGTTTTAACAATCATCTTGGAGGGTCTAAATAGTAAAAAGGGGTGTTTCATGTCTGTATTCTTAAACAATTGTTATTTTTCTCTCTTTTTTAGCAATGCATCACTCTCTGCTGTCCTTATCTATTATTCTATATTCTGCGTCTCCATCCAGATTCTCGTGTATACCATGAGGGTCCGGATTGGGGGTGTTGTTTATTTCTGTATTCTTTAAATTGTTATGTCACTTTTCTCTAAATTTTATTTATTTTTCTCATTATTCTTTCTCTATTCTTTATATTTTAGCATCCCAATATATTTCACTTACTGATGTTTAGTTACATTACGACGTTTATCTCTGATTTAAAAAAAGCAGATGTGGTATGATTGCCAATGAGACAACTCTCCACAAGAGACCAAAATGACACAGAAATTAACAACTATAGGTCACCGTACGGCCTTCAACAATGAGCAAAGCCCATACCGCATAGTCAGCTATAAAAGGCCCCGAAATGACAATGTAAAACTATTCAAACGAGAAAACTAACGGACTTATTTATATATAAAAAAAATGAACGAAAAACAAATATGTAACACATAAACAAACGACAACCACTGATTTACAGGCTCCTTACTTGGGACAGGCACATACAAACATAATGTGGCGGGGTTAAACATGTTAGCAGGATCCCAACCCTCCCCTAACCTGGGACAGTGGTATAACAGTACAACATAAGAACGAACTATAAAAATGATGTATATACTGGTTACCAATGTAGATGACAATTTGGTGTCATTCATAACAACGAAACAGAATTCATTGCCATTCATAACTCTTAACAGACCAAATAACAGACGGGGATTTATACATCCGACCCATTAACAGACCAGTTTTTTAATAAAAATTGATTAATATCACCAAAATACAGATTTTCGTGTAGATTTTTCACACAATGATATTGATATGGTTAACAAACATAATGCCTGTCTTTTTTCGATGTTCAAAATATTGCATGCAAGTAAATTCAGCCAGGTTGTCATTTTGTGTACATTTTGTGTGTGTAAAATGTGTATAAATTTATTGGTGAGTAACCCGCCTTTTCATTTTATTGATTGTTTATCGAAGCTAGAAAAAAAAATAATTACACCACTGGATTCCAGTACATTGAATTGTTTTGTCAGACATGAATAATTTTTATGATAAAAAATATATTTAAAAAGTTATACAATGAAACATACTGAACTTGCAAGTATTTTCTCGATAACACCTGATTAACAGACTTTAGCCAACCCAATTAACAGACCAACCGCCGATATAGCCGCATACTCAATATAGATTAACCGACCAATCTCTCGGTTAGCCGAGTGACGGCCGTGTACATGCATCTTTCTAGATGAGAGTAGATAGTTTCTTTATAAATATAGACAAATTTCGAAACTAAGAACATGCAATCTTAAAATTCCTAGTATATAACATTCCCCTCTGTGCTGAAAATGCAAAAGATGCTGTCATCAGGTAACTGACAGTGACGTAATGACAGCATCTTTTGCATTTTCAGCACAGAGGGGTATATGTTATATACTATTTCGAAATATATTTCTTCCGAAGTTCAGTGATAGTAGTATTATTACATACATATGAATAATGATATTCATCAGCAACACATTCATTACATGAGGTACATAGACGATCGGTTCTAGCTATGTTGTACCATCTGCCAGTTTCTGTAGGAATTTTAAGATTGCATGTTCTCAGTTTCGAAATCCAGATTCTTTTATCCTCTGGAAGACGTAATAAAAAATATTCAAGACCAAAATGAGCTTTGAATAACTTATAATATTCGCCACGAGATGAGTTATCAATATTATTAAACAACTTTGAAGAAACTGATCTTGAATAATCTGTTTAATAACAATGTCAGGTTTAATAGTTAAATAACCAATGTATTGGTTGGAAAACATATAACCTAATCCTGAGTTGTCTAATATAAATTTCTCAAATGACACCCATTTAAATTCACAAAT